TGCCATCAAAAGGCTTGATGTCCAGTCTCTTCAGCTGATCGTGGTGTTGAGGACTCGGTGGTGTACTGGGTGGCTGAGCTTTCTTAGCTAGTTGACCCCTCAACCTGCTGATGAGCCTGACGCATTGCTTCCTGGTGGTGGCTGCCTGCTCAAATACCCCGTTCGCGAGATACGGGTGTTCGTGTGGTATGGACTCGATCAGGCTCCCCTGGATGGTGAGTAATTCTGCCCATTCGAAATCCAGGATCCTATCGTGGCCGTCCAAATCCTCGGAGGTGACATCCTCGTCGGTCATGATGGCCTTGGTGAGTTCCTGATGAACCTCCGTAATACTATCCACCCTGAGCTGTATCTGCCTCAGTTGGATGAGTTGATGCACTGTGAGACCATCCTCTGGAACTTGAATAATCTCGGAGTACCTCTGCTTGACCTCCGAAATTAATTTGTCCCCTTGATTGAGTGTATCTCCATCAGGGGCATTGATGATGACCTGCGGAATTCCAAGTGGTGAGTTTACTGCGCTCGTGGATGGGTTAATTTCCTCCTTACTGTCCTGCAATTCTTGTTCGATTACTGTTTCGGAGCCTGACATGGTGATGTACTGTTTTGTTTACAACCTGTCAGATCCCTTGGTAAATGAGTACGAGAGTTTCTACTTTACCGACCGCCTGCGGTTTACCACTCGGTGAGTTGCTGTGCTGCGTCGGTAACTGGTCGATTCTGCTGCTGTGAGGCGCCGCCTGTTGCTGGGCGCTGGGCCCGCGCTGAGACTGTTCGGCAACACTCGGTGATTCTCGCTGACTCTCGACTCTACGGCACGTTGAGGCACTGGAGGACAATGGTGTTTATACTTCTATTGTCCGGAGAATATAAACACTGGCACAAACACGTCTGAATTTCTCCGTTGAGTTTCTGATGTGAACCCCGAATGTCCGCGTGGGTTTTTCACTGCACTGAATAATTTCACACTACCGATTCCCGAATCCGGCTCGAAGGACCATGTGTTTGGAGGGAAAACTGAATTTAGGGTTGGATTGGGAAAGGGGTAGTGGAAATGCCGGTGAAAAACGAATGCACTGAGTCTATAAAAAATATACTGATTTATTCGGTGGAATCGAACCACCTTAGCGTCACTTGTTACACTGTGCTAATTGTCACTGGAATTAATTCAAACTGTTCTGAATTTAACACTGGAGATTTTCTGAATAATGTACTGAATAATAGGAGACTGTACTGAGAATTTAAATAGGAGATGTACTGAGAAAACAAAATGTCTCGAACGGGTGATGTACTGACGCTGTTCGGACAACCGAAAGTAGCTTTAGAAAAACGATATACTGCTCGCTCAACTCATTTGCTACGACTCTCTACGACTGACTGCCTGTAACTGACTCTGAGATTCGGTGATTGACTAGGCCTGACCGTTGACCCGAGGTTTCCCGAAGATTTTCGTAAGTGGCCGATCTGTGGTCAACCGTTGATGTACTGAATTTTAACTGCGTTTCAAACAAATATTTTTTGTCGCAAATCGAATTTGCAACAAAAATAATCTAATGGAAAAATGCTGTAAACCCAATAGTTTTTTAAATAATGACCAAAAATTATTCAAGACTTTATTGCAATTATTTAATAAATTATTGAGTTTACGTGATTTTTGCATCAGATTATGTTTGAAATGCAGTTAAAATTCAGTACATCAACAGTTGACCACAGATCGGCCACTTACGAAAATCTTCGGGAAACCTCGGGTCAACGGTCAGGCCTAGTCAATCACCGAATCTCAGAGTCAGTCAGTCGTAGAGAGTCGTAGCAAATGAGTTGAGCGAGCAGTATATCGTTTTTCTAAAGCTACTTTCGGTTGTCCGAACAGCGTCAGTACATCACCCGTTCGAGACATTTTGTTTTCTCAGTACATCTCCTATTTAAATTCTCAGTACAGTCTCCTATTATTCAGTACATTATTCAGAAAATCTCCAGTGTTAAATTCAGAACAGTTTGAATTAATTTCAGTGACAATTAACAGAGTGTAACAAGTGACGCTAAGGTGGTTCGATTCAACCGAATAATTCAGTATATTTTTTATAGACTCAGTGCGTTCGTTTTTCACCGGCATTCCCACTACCCCTTTCCCAATCCACCCTAAATTCAGTTTTCCCTCCAAACAAATATCAATGGAAAAATCCCCTAACCCCAATTGTTTACTACATAATTGAAAAAGAGCGTGTTTCTTCGAAAAAATTCCGAAAATCACAGCTATCCTCCTTTCGATTTCTGAGGCGATTGTTTAATTGTTAATTATCTCAGATACTAAGAGGATTAGGAAATTTTGTCAGTAGATCTTTTATCTTGTTAATGAAATGTAACAGAAAAAAGTTCTACTGGCAAAATCTCTTGAAATTCTCGGTTAAGAAAATAATTAATAATTAATTAATGACCTGGGAAATTCCAAGGGGATGGCCGACGATTTTCGGGAAATGATAATCAATAACTAAATCTTGTAAACCCATTTGTTTACAAGATAATTGTAAAAGAGTTTTTTTTTGCGAAATAATTNCCATTTGTTTACAAGATTATTGTAAAAGAGTGTTTTTTGCGAAATAATTGATAAAATTAGCCCCCTCCCCCTTTCGATTTCTGAGGCGATTGTTTAATTGTTAAGTATCTCAGATACCAAGAGGTCTAGGAAATTTTGTCAGTAGATCTTTTATCTTGTTAATGAAATGTAACAGAAAAAAGTTCTACTGGCAAAATCTCTTGAAATTCTCGGTTAAGAAAATAATTAATAATTAATTAATGACCTGGGAAATTCCAAGGGGATGGCCGACGATTTTCGGGAAATGATAATCAATAACTAAATCTTGTAAACCCATTTGTTTACAAGATAATTGTAAAAGAGTTTTTTTTTGCGAAATAATTAAGGAAATTAGCCCCCACCCCCTTTCGATTTCTGAGGCGATTGTTTAGTTGTTAACAATTATCTCAGATACCAAGAGGACTAGGAAATTTTGTCAGTAGATCTTTTATCTTGTTAATGAAATTTAACAGAAAAAAGTTCTTCTGACAAAATCTCTGAAATTGAAATTCTCGGTTGAGGAGATAATTAATAATTAATTAATCACCTCGGAAATTCCAAGGTGATGGCCCACGATTTTCGTAAATCGTGAGCAATAAAAATGTTTTCGGAATTATCTAATAAACAATTGGGTTTCCAGCTTTTTGTCAAAAGCCTTTTTAAAAAAAGAATCCTTTGAACTACAAAAATCGTCCATCGTGTAATAGCGTAAACCTAATAGTTTAATAAACAATTGCATTAAGCTCATAAATAAATTTTACTCATTATTTGGAAAACTATCGGGTTTATGTCATTTTTTCATTGGATTATTTTTGTAGGACATTCAATTCTCGAAAAAAACTAATCAATAAAAAAATCCTGTACTTTCTCATAACGATGTTTTTTAGGGAACTCGATGATCGTTTTTTTTTTTGCATCTCTCTTTCGAGCAATGCTTTCGTGTCCTTTTCGCGCAATGAGGTGATCACGCCCGCGACTCTTTTGTTTTCCGGATTTTCTCAATATTCGTCGTCGACGTAGTCATTCGTTTTGTGATAGTCGTCTGATACAAATCGCGACAATGGTGCGTTTTACGGCAGCGGATTACGCGGATATGGTGGTCGTGTATGGTGTTGCGGGGGGAAAGGGGGCAGAAGCTGCCCGAATTTATGCGGAGCAGTTTCCGAATCGTGTGGTTCCTGATCCACGTACGTTTAGGGATGCGTTTCAACGGCTGAGGGAGGGTAACGTCCTCCCAAGGCACGGCGAAGGGCGCCCAAGACGTGCGGATGGCGTGCACCTGGAAGAGGCGATTCTCCAGAGCGTCGAGGAGTCTCCAGAGTTGTCCGTCCGGGGAATTACGTCCTCGCTACGTACCGCCCGTTCCACGGTTCACCGTGTGATGAGGGTTGAGGGTCTGCATCCCTGGAAATTTACCCCAGTCCAGGAGCTGAAGCCAGAGTATTTGCCGAAGTGTGTGGATTTCTGCCAATGGCTCCTTGACAGAAGTCGCGATCCAGAGTTCATACGCAACGTTTGCTGGACTGATGAGAAGCTTTCCGTGAGAAAGGGGATCATCAATCAGCACAATGAGCATCATTGGGCTTTTGTAAATCCCGGTCTCGCGAAAGAAACGAATTTCCAGTATCGTTGGGACAGTATGAACATCTGGGGAGGGATCATTGGTGATGAAGTCCACATTTATCACCTTCCAGGACGTCTCGACGTAAGTATTTTTTTTTCAGCTACTCTAAAGAAAATTATTTTTTCACACCCCTGCACGGAAAGTTTGTACTTTGCTCCCTGATGAGCGGGAGCAAAGTGAGTATTTTTCCCCCTTGGATAGAAAGTTATTTCCTCAGGCGGAAAGTCAAGACTTTTCGCCCACAGGAGTCATTTTCCACCCTAAGGCGGAAAAAACTCAATTTTCTCCCCCACATCAAAAAGCAAAATACGAACTTTTCTTTGCAGGCATGTTAAAAAATCGCATATGCACCTCGGGTCAGGAAAATGTAACTTTCGGCCCTTGGTGCACAATATACTAATTTTGATTTGATTTTGATTTTTTTCTGTTTCAGGGTGGCAACTACTTGGGATTTTTACAAGATCGCCTTGTAACTGTCATCGGTGACGGTCCTGCGGAGAGAGCTGTATGGTTTCAGCACGATGGAGCTCCAGCACATACGTGTGTCGCCGTCGTCGACCAGCTGAACGAGTGGTTCCCGGATCGCTGGATCGGGAACNCATTTTTTTCTGTTTCACGGTGGCAACTACTTGGGATTTTTACAAGATCGCCTTGTAACTGTCATCGGTGACGGTCCTGCGGAGAGAGCTGTATGGTTTCAGCACGATGGAGCTCCAGCACATACGTGTGTCGCCGTCGTCGACCAGCTGAACGAGTGGTTCCCGGATCGCTGGATCGGGAACAGGAGCGACCGGGACAGGGGTGGACATCGCCAACCACCTGTAGCGTGGCCTCCGCGGTCTCCAGATCTAACTCCGCTGGATTTTTTCTTGTGGGGTACTCTGGAGTCACGGATATACGCTCATCATCCAGCGAATCAGGAGGAGATGGTCGCATTGCTGCACGCTGCAGTTGCAACCATCACACCTGAAGAGCTGGAACGCATGAGGAGGAACCTCCTGAAGAGAGCCAGGCTGTGCATTGATGCAGGTGGAGGACTCGTGGAGAACCTGCTTTAGGAACTCCCTGCTGCCCTCCTTCCCTCTCCAGTTCATCCCATGAACAAACCAAAATCGGCCCTTTTCAGGGCCACCACGACAATCAAAACGAGGATCCTCATCCTTTTCCCTGCCTTCCAACCCCTTTTATGGATTGATTTTTATTGCTGACGACTTCCCAAAAATCGTGAGCCATTCCCTCCGCATTTCATTGATCATTGTTTAATTATTAATTATCTCCTCAACCGACAATTTCAAGAGATTTTGTCAGAAAAACTTTTTTCTGTTACATTTCATTAACAAGATAAAAGATTTACTGACAAAATTTCCTAGTCCTCTTGGTATCTGAAGGAATTAACAATTAAACAATCGCCTCAAAAATCGAAAGGGTGACGGGGGTAATTTTATCAATTATTTCGAAAAAAAAACTCTTTTACAATTAACTTGTAAACAAATGGGTTTACAAGATTTAGTTATTGATTATTATTTCCCGAAAATCATCGGCCATCCCCTTGGAATTTCCGAGGTCATTAATTAAGTATTAATTATTTCCTCAACCGAGAATTTCAAGAGATTTTGTCAGAAGAACTTTTTTCTGTTACATTTCATTAACAAGATAAAAGATCTACTGACAAATTTTTCTAGTCCTCTTGGTATCTGAGGGAATTAACAATTAAACAATCGCCACAGAAATCGAAAGGGGGACAGGGGTAATTTTATCAATTATTTCGCAAAAATAAACTCTTTTACAATTATCTAGTAAATAAATGGGCTTACAAGATTTAGTTATTGATTATTATTTCCCGAAAATCGTCGGCCATCCCCTTGGAATTTCCGAGGTCATTAATTAATTATTAATTATCTCCTCAACCGAGAATTTCAAGAGATTTTGTCAGTAGAAGTTTTTTCTGTTACATTCCATTGACAAGATAAAAGATCTACTGACAAAATTTCCTAGACCTCTTGGTAACTGAGATAATTAACAATTAAACAATCGCCTCAGAAATCGAAAGGGGGATAGCTGTGATTTTCGGAATTTTTCCGAAGAAACACGCTCTTTTTCAATTATGT